TGGATGGAGGGGTTTATTCTGAACCAAATATGTGTTTCCAAGGCCCAGGGATCCATGCCCAAGAAGTCTTGAGCAAGTGGTCCCAAGGCAATTGGGTTACAGGTTGGTTTTATACATTTTAAGCAAACAGGAATCACAGGTAAAATCATAAATCAACACATGGAAAGTGTGAAAAATTTTGGCCGGAAAAGGTTGGACATCTCAAAAGGGAGGGGGCTTACAGATTATAGGTAGGTTTAAAGATTCTTTGATTTATAATTGGTTAAAGAGATGAAGCTTTGTCAAAGGCTTGTTTTAAGTTAACACAGAGACGTCTGTCTGTTAATCAGAGACAAGCCATGATATACCTACTCACGTGTTCTATTAAGCAAATCAATGGTTTTCAGGTGATTTAATCTTTGCTCTGCATGGCCTTAGGTCCTGTTAATCATTTAGTACCTTGTTGTCACAAAGAGTGTTTTGTCAGTCTTATGATCTCTATTTTAACATTAATGCTGGTCAGTTGTTGTATCTAAACTCCAAAAGGGAGGGGGTATAACAGGGCATGTATTAATACAACCTCCTGTCCCTTCATGGCCAAGAACACAGTTTTAAGGTTTTTCTGGGGTCCAAGAAAAGATCCATTCAATTGGCTAGTGGGAGGTGAGTAGCTTATGATTTAATTTTAGTTCACAATTCCAAGGTCTTAGGTAATGACAACTTGTGACTCATCTGTCAACTTGCTAATGAAACTCTGTTATACATAGTTAAAAATACTAAATAAGGGAGTTTTAGGGGGAAATATTTATTTCTCCATGATCTTAAATTACAGAATAAATATAGGAAAGGATTTCTATATGTTTTACTGGAGATAAAATGTGTTCCTGAATTCAAATTTGGTAGAATATCCCCTTTTTCACTTTTCCTTTGACTATTTGTCAGAGGATTACTGTAAATAATCTGTTATTCTGTTACTTTATAGTTAATTGGGAAATTGAAGTTAATTTTATTGGAAACTCCACCATGTGATTTGCAAAATAAAAATATAATACAGTACCAAGGATCAATTCTACAACTGCAAGAACTCCTCCATCTTAAATTTAATGTAGCCACAGAAATACTTCTCAGAGTAAGTTTGATGTTTTGCTTAAATGTTACTATTCACTTTTGTAAGAGTTAACATTTTATGCTACATAATATAATAATCCAATATTCTTTTTCTTTTTTTTAAAAAAAAGCAAGAGATTATGGAAAAGTCAGTAGAATAATTTAAAGCATGTATATTTATCCAGATTTAACTGTTAATATTTTGTTTTTAAAGAAATAAATGTTATCAGTATGGCTAAGGTCTAGTTTTTTTTTTACACTTCACAAAGTTTACTAAGTTCACTATGAAAATAAATTTATAAAACATTACATATTAGATATTCTCTGTAGGTAAATCAATTGATACAAGATTATAACTATTGGTAGTTACTCTATTTTTCTCTTTTTATCTTGAAAATACTATATTCAAACATGAAGTTGGAAAAATAGTACCGTGAATCCCCATATGCCCTCTACCTAGATTCAGTAGTTTTTTTAGATTTATTGAAGTATAATTGATAGACAAAAATGTATATTCTTAAAGTATACAACTTGAAGATTTGATATACATGTATATTGTAAAATGACTATGAAAATAAATTTATAAAACATTACATATTAGATATTCTCTGTAGGTAAATCAATTGATACAAGATTATAACTATTGGTAGTTACTCTATT